AAAGCAGTGGTTCTCAACCTTCTTAATGCTGTGACTTAATACAGTTCCACACATTGTGGTGACCCCAACCATGAATTCTTTTCATTGCTACCTCATAACAGTAATTTTTGCTACTGTTATGAGTTGTAATGTAATATCTGAAATGCAGGGTATCTGATATGTGATCCTAGTGAAAAGTTCCTTCAATCCCCAAATAGTTTGTGACCCACATGTTGAGAACCACTGCTAAAGGAACTGAAAGTAGTGTAAAATTTCTTTTAAAACAAGCCAAATGAGCCAACATATTTAGGTAGAGGTGGACAATAAATACCTAATAAATTCAGTTAAAAGGCATTTGGTCGACTTTACCTGCAACACCCAGAAGTCGGCTCACTAAAGAATAAAATTATATGAGTGGCTAAAGCAAAAAAAAAAAAAAAAGTAACAGCATAATTAAATATTTTAAGAAATCTGCTAATTACATCAATGGCAAAGAATACAAAATTGTATTGTAAAAAAGTATGTTTAGTAGATTTATTTATGCATTTATTTATTTATTTATAAATAGAGTTAATCTTTAGGAAATTTAGATTTTTTTTCCCCTTCCTGCTCAGTATACAAGTTTCTTTGTCCCTCCCTCCCTCTCTCCCTCCCTCCCTCCCTCCATCCCTCCCTAACTAAAACTTATAGTGGATGTTTTCTTTAATAAAAAACAAAAGTTTATACTTATTCATGATAATTTTCAAATAAGACAGTGGTAAGGTTGTTGCTTCTGATTTGAGCACATTGCCAGAGATCTCACACAAGAAAAATAGATTAATTAAAATGATAATAATTGTATTATTTCTAAGTAAATTTTTTTGTTTTCACTATAAACATTATATTTAATAGCAACCTCCACTAACACATTCAAAATCCGCCTCAGTTTTCCAAAGTTCATCTCATACAAAGTTCGCTTTTCATATTAGCTGCTGGAAAGCTTAAGGCTCATCAGAAACATGTGGGATTTTTATGGTGTTCAAGCTGGCCTTGCCTCTCTACCAGATCTATTTTGTTTTCTTTCTTTCTTTTTTTTTTTTATTTTATATAACCAAGTCCATTTAAATGAAAACAAACATTTATAGACAATATTTGGGAATTTGGGCTTTGTTCTTTCCAAACTACTTCCTGCTGGTAAGAGGCCCTGCCATGGGGGATTCGAAGAAGATTCAGAAATCCTGGCTGTAGTCTGTAAGGCTGCTTTGTCCAGCTGTTTTGAATGTAGGATCACCTGGTACTCTGTTTCAGGTGGTCTGGCTTGATCATACCACATTAGTCTGTAAGGAATCCACATCTTTTCATTTTCTGTGGAAACAAAAATAGAAATCCTTTTCCCCAGTAACTTGTCCTTGAACTTAAATTTTGGAGTCAAAGCATTTTTTTTAAAATTTAATTTATTATTTTATATGTCGATCCCAGTTCCCTCTCCCTCCCTCCCAACCTCCCTCACTCCCTTCTAAATAAAATTTTACATGGAAAACCAGAGAAACTCTGTGGAGACCATTAGCAGTGACGGGGAAATGTAGCCTGGTTGCTGCCAAAACACACAAAAGTCAATAGTTACCAACAACTGTGGCAATAATAAGATACCACTTCTAACATTGATAAGGCCTAAAGACTGGCTAGGAGAACTCTAAGACAGAATACATAAAACAAAAAGTAGAAATTAAAAACTATCACCAGTGCTTTATTATGGTGTTAATCAACACAAAAGCAGTGTTCAGAGATGACTTCATTGAATATTCTGAAGATGTGTCATCTTCCCTCCATCAAAATTTAAATACAATCCAGTCAACTTCTACCCAGGAAATTTTTGAAGGGGTAGCAACATACATGGACTTGACAAACTGTAGATTGTGTGCTAAGTCCAGGCTATAAGTTGCCAGACACAGCTGTGGCTACATGCCAGAAGTGTGTAGTTATGAAATTGTGTAGCCCCTTGCAACTGTCCCTTATAGAAAATAATTTAGCTTCTCCTGTGCTAGAGTATCAGTGGTAGGCTCGAACAGAATCCAGACCCATTGTTGTGTCTATATGGGCGTGTTCTTAGGAGCTGCCATCCACTGTGGTCCCACTGTTAACTGGTGGAGTCATCTTTCAGGTCTCATTTAAGCATGGTTGTGGAATAGCTTGGGCAGGCACCAGGGAAAGCTAGTGAGTGAGCTGTGCCTAAGATACCATTTTATCTATCAATCATGAAAGCGGACAGTGTCAAGTGCTGACAAGGACAGAGGAACATCTTTATATATTGCTCTTGGGAATGCAAACTGGTACATATGTCTTAGAAAAGCTGTGTAAGGTTATAAACTAAAACCCTGCTCTAAGGCCATGTGATACACATTACGTTAGACATCACAGTGTTCGTTATCAAATACTATAGCTAGGCTAACTGTTGAGTAGGAGTGAACTGTACACAAAAGCTACAGTGGATTGCTGTGAGAAGAAAGAACCAGCCAGGAGCCAATTTTAGCAACACTGAATAGCTAAGACAGAATTAAGAAACAGATGAGATTTAAAACAAATAATTGCTATAAAATTAAAGTGAAATGTTTTTGAGAGCCCTTCATATTTTTGACATATGGAAGACAAATCTATAAAGAAGATAAACACTATATTAGTCATGCTACAGCAAATCCCTGAGTTACAAGGAGACAGGATGATTTGGGGCATAGAGGATGAAAAGGTTTAAAAAAAAAGAACAAGTAAGCCCAAAGGAGTACCAACCAGGTATTCCGGATAAGAGTTCATGCTTGAGTCAAGTTTGTCCAGTTACCCTTAAATGGAAACAGGGATGTTGTTCCTTCTAGCATTGTTAAACAGTTGCTCAGACAATGTCTTTGAGTGTGGGCTTATGTCTGGCTGCGTTTGTTGAGGTCTTACTCCAACAGACTGATGATTCAGCTTTAAGAAAGGACCTTTCATGCTGTGTGCTGTGATCAGCAGAGGGATTTGGTTGTCTTTGATATCGCACCTTCCTTGTGCCTCACGTCTACTCTAAAGTATAAGTGTGCTAGGGGACTACAGATACTTGGGTCAATCCGCAAGACATGATTCAACAGTAAGGAAAGCCAACATTTAGAACATGGTAAAGTGTCAACCATGGAAAATTCAGGGTAATGTGGCTGGAGCTATAGGAAATAGGAATTCATATTCTTATTAGCTTCTCAGAGAGCATGCCCGAAAAGCCACACAGCTGGACAATGTTTGAAAGCCTTAATTTTTATTAGATGGTGTAACTATTTTGCAAGCCAGTATCTCTATACTTGACATGAGTGCCCCCCCCCAGCACAGAGTGTATCAAGTTCAGTTCACTACAGTAGAGGACTTTCATACAACTCTCACTGTAAACATTTGACTCATCAAATCATCATGCAGTTGTTATTGTTCTACTTTAAAATAGATATCCATTTTTTCTCTTCATCCCTTTTTTATGATTCTTCATTCATCTTTCATCTTTGCTTTTCTTTCAGGTTGGTCTCTGGCCATCTGTTCCCTAGTAAGCTGCTTCTGACTTACAAAAATGTAAGGGCCATAGTTACTTAGGAGTCACTTATGTGTAGGGATCACCTGATTAAGTTTATTCCTGGGCCCTGTTGGGTTTAGTCGATGCTGCCTGCCAAATGCCCAGTTTCATTTCACCCTCCCTCATGTTCGTTCACTGTTATAAGTATGTTTTTTTCTGCTGGTCTGGTTCCACCACCCCGCCAGCCCCAAATAATACACAGAGACTCTGTATTTGATATAATTCTGTTGGCCAGTTACTAGTTTCTTATTAGCTAGCTCTGTCTTAAATATTAACTCATTTCTATTAATCTAAGTATTTCCACGTGGTCTCATCTTACTGGAGAGTGGGGCCAGCGTTCTGCTCTCCCCAGTCTCTCCATGCTGACTCCTCCTTACTACTTCCTTCCCCCCCCCCCCGTCTCCTAGTCCTGCCTATCTTGCTTTCCTATTGGCCAACAGTGCTTTATTCATTAGCCAGTAAGAGAAACATATTTACAGAATGACATCTCCCATCAATTCACTTTCACATTGCTGTGACAAAAGATTTGTTAGACACAACTTAGAGTAGGAAGGAAGATTTATTTTGGTTCAAGGTTTCAGAGTTCTGGCTACAGGAAACCATGGTGGTTAGAAGCAGGTTGTTCATCTCAGGACAGCAATGGGACAGCCATAGAAGGCAGATATGCTCCCTGCCACACACACATCATCTACTTCTGCCAACCAATCATCTTCCTCTGTATTTTCAAGAATCTTCTAAAATATCAGCACCAAGTGCTCAACACATATGCTTGAGGGGGACATTTTATGTCAAATTCTAACTCTGTCATTGGGCCTCCCCCAGAAGGAGGACATGGAAAACTTAACATTCATCAACTGCTCTGTCTTTGGGTCAGCAAGGAGCTAGTCTGTCTGAAATTCTGTTTAACTCGTTCCTTCTTTTTCTCTCTAATTTTGGCAATTGAATAGTAATAGTTCTCAGGGAACGTGTGTTTTGTAATTGTAGGCAAGGTCAGACAGTGTTTATACTTGCGCTAAATTGCTGTTGTACAAACAAAGAGAAAAGCATTTGAAAGAAGCTTTTAAGAATAATGTTTGTACTCAGTACTTTACAATGAATATTTCCATATTAGCAGAGATGATCTGGGAACAATTAAGTATTTAACAAATGGGACCTGTGGATCTGAGGCGACAACTTAAAGGGCCAGCGAATTTAGGCATGAAAGACTGCTTTGTCATCCATGACCCTGGTCCTACTTGGCAACCTTGACTGGAATCAAAACAGCATTGTAGGGAGATGTGAATATCCCAGAAGGACTTTCCTGGAGTTCATCTGAAGGGAGATGATCAGGACCAGTTTAAATGGCACCCTCTTTGAATCCAAGAACTTTTAATAATGCAATTTATCCTCTTTAAAATGGTCCATGAACCAAGTTGCTTTCTCTTTGAATGTTCATTTCCTATATTATTTTCCCTTTCAGATTCACTGTGAGACCATGTCGTTTAGATTTGGCCAACATCTCATCAAGCCCTCTGTGGTTTTTCTCAAAACTGAACTGTCCTTTGCCCTGGTGAATAGAAAACCTGTTGTACCTGGCCGTATCCTTTTGTTGTAAAAGAAGCATCTGAATCCAACCAACCAAATTATTGTAGAATCAGCCTTCAGTGTCTGTCAACGAAAGGTATGTCCCCCTCTCCCAAGTTGGAGTAACCAGGTAAGATATTATTCACATTTATTTTGAATCCAGTTGGTGGCACCCGTAATATGCTTGAGCAGTGTTGCAGAACTTCTGAGGAGGGTTGCTTAGCAACTGTAGCTTTGGAGGGGGATTTTTGGTTGACCTTTTCACTACCATAGCTGTGTAAATAAATAGGTGTTTCTAAAATTGGCTCAATGAATATCATGGACTCTTTGATTCCTTTTATTCGTTGTGAATTTTAATGGAGGTTAGAAGGTAGATGGTGACTCTGTGAGATGGAATTAAGGGATTTCAGGAGAATTAAAGATGGGCTGTTTCTTTGCTTAATGGAGATTGCTTAATTTGTTCATTTTACTTTATTCTATTTTTGATATTGTAGCATAATGACATTATTTCCCCCTTCCCTCCCTCCAAGCCCTCCCATATACCCCTTCTCTTTCTCTTTCAAATTAATGGCCTCAGTTTTCATTAGTTATTGTTAGACACACTCAGACACACACACACACACACACACACACACACACACACACACACACACGTATATTCATGTATATACATATATATTCTTCAGATATAACCTGCTTGATCTGTACAATGTTTCTCATATGTATATTTTCAGGGCTGATGATTTGATGTCGGATAACCAAATGGTGTGTCTTCCCTGGGAAAACTATTTCTGCCACTCTCAGTGTTGCTTAGTTGACTGTAGTTCTTTGTGTAGGGTTGAGTCCTCATGGGCTTTCCCCTTCTTTTTTATCATGTCTATTGGCACTGTCCTTGTTCAGCTCATGTTTGGGCAGTCACATTGATGAAACTTTACCGGTATAGCTTTTGACATTACTAAAAAATACAATCTAGCATGTCATGAATGTCATGATCTGTGCTGGAATTTGAAATGTCATTTTCTCTTGGGAAAAACACTGGTTTGTAGACCATTATCCACTCTGAGTGCTGGTTGAGTTATTTGATTTTGTTGGAAGAACTTTCCTTCTACTGGGAACGTTTAGTAGGAGCTTTGTTCTCTTCTGCAGTGAAGATGGGGATGGAAGGGACACTCGAGGAGGTGATTTTTTTTTTCATGTTGAACATATTTCTTCTGGCTGTGTACATATGGATTTTATAGTTTCCACAATGCTTTTCTCTTCCTTCGTATTTTTTTATACAAGGGGTAACAAGAAGGGAGCCTCATATTTGAAGATAATAGGTATCTTCCACACTGAACCATGGTTTGTCTTTGAAATTGATTCTGTAACATAGTCCTGAATGTAGAAATATTTCACGATTTTTTGGAGTACTTTTTTTTTTTAGTGAAAATGTTTGAAGTTCTTAAGAATGTCCTGAACAACTTGCTTTCCTAGTCTTGTAAACTTTGCTTGGTTGAAAGGAAAAAGAAAAATCACCTAAAAAATAAAATTGTGGTTCTGTACTAAACTCTCAGTCCTAAGCCCAAATTTTATCTAAAATTTGCAAAATTACAAAAACAATGAGCAATCAATTTTTAAATAATGTTGGATAAAAATTACTCTTTCTGTCATTTAACTTTTTGTAAAGTGTTAAAGATTAAGTTGAGCCTAAATGCTCAATATTGAGTAACCAGCCTTCTCTGCTTCTGCAATGGGGGAAGGCCAAGGCAGAGTGACTAAAAGGAGACTGGGACACAGAATCACTGTTAAGTTATGGCTAATTGCATTCTTCAAATGGACCCTGAAATTCTTGGAATAAAACCATTTTTGTTTCTTCCTTTGCTTTTCCTGCAAGTGTGCGGTGGTCATTTTGCATTGGGAAATTTGTAGAGTAAAATAAAGTCAGATCTCAAAAGAATAAAGGTAAAATTACATTGTTTTCTTTGTGCTGGCTTGAACTGACTTTTAACAAGGGTAAGAGAACTAGGGATGAAAATGAGAATTTAGGTGAATGAATCTTCATACTCTGTTGTCATACAGATATACTATATGCCAAATGGTTAATAATGGAGTGGACTCTGCTTTGTGAATTTCCATTTGTAACTTGACAGTACTTTATTCCCTCCCCCCTTTGTTTATTGAATCACCTGTGAAAGTGTGATGCTGAGACTGGGAAAATATATGACAAAAACTTCTAGCATCCTAAGACTTCTTTAAGAAAACGGCCATAGTGAGTCATAAACAATAGTGACATTTGTGCCATGGACTCACCATTTCCTAAATTAAACTTTAGCAGTTACCATGTCTGTTGTAAGACAATATCAAAAGTATTCTATCTAATGAGTATGGGGCATCACAGCCGTTGGAAGGATCCTGCTTCTGTTGGAGGGTGTGAGAGCTGGGATGTGTGGGAACTGACAGAGTGGGAGGTCACCCTATATCTCCACTGTTGGGAATCAAATACATTGAGACAATGCTGTCCTAGATAACTATGCAACCTTTCATATTTCCTTTGCAGACTAAGGAGGTGTGGGGAGGGTCCACAGCCTTGCGAAGCATCTTAGTAAGCAGTTGCTTGCTTGCAGACAACCACGGGCTTCTGTCCTAAGATAGGGGTTGTACCTGTGGTGAGCTCTGTTTGCTCACATTTCATAAAACCAGTGGTGAGGGGTGTCTACCCTTGGCCATCATTCTATCCTGCCTTCCCCAGTATAACCCTGTTGCTAGGGATCACCTAGCTTTCTGCAGCCTCTGCTTCTAGACTTCTCTACCTTGTAACTTCTAACCCATCATTTTTCACTCCCCTTATTTACAGAGCATTTTGGAAGAAAACGTCCAAAGTCTGTAGCAAGTTTTTAAAGATATTTAGTACCTCATACATTTCTATCTGTCCAGCCATCTGCTAAATGTGTATTTCCCTTTAACACATGCCCTGTTCCCCTCTTCTTTGAAGCTCTTCCAGGCCATTTCATTTCAACTATGGTACTATGATAAATATTACTCCCTCTTAGTAAAGATACCCTCATTGTTTATGACATTTCTTTCCATCTTCTCACTCACTCAACCCTTACTTACTCAGCTCATGCTCTATTCCTGGCTTCATGCCACATATCCCAGGCTGCCTCAGAATGTAGCACTGAGCATTCTTGTTCATCTCTGCATAACCATTCCTTTCTGAGGGAGGACTTGTTCTTACTTTTCTAGCATCCTAAGACTATAGTAACTGAAATTAAAGTAGAAATTGCGAACACTGAGAGCAATACTGTGGTGTAATTAACGGACAAGGCAATAAGGGCCTGTTGCCTCCTGTCTTTACTGGCATGCCCAGAGCCAAGTTACGTTTCTCGAATTGTGTTCAGGCTGACTGCCTGGATTTCCCCCTTCCTGTTTAGTCACTTACATCTCTGTTTTCAGTTGTTGTCTGGGGGTGAGAGGGTGAGCCCACAATGAAGGAATGAGATGATAGACAGTTTTGTGTTTTCAGGGCAGTTTTATAGCAACTTCATGTAATGTTTTGCTTTTTACAGTGGTTTTATTATTTAAAAAAATGACATCTAAGCACCCAGCAGAGAGGGTGCCATCGATGAGTGACTTAGAAATACGGTCTTTGAATTGATGTCCTGACTAATATTTGTCTGTCCCCACCATCCCCTTTCCCTTGGGATTTTGCTTATTGACTTCAAAGAGAAAATGTTTGTGTGTCTGCCGCATCTGTGGGTGGGCATGCGTGTAGAGTTCAGTGAGAACACAGGTGTCAGTGCTCGCCTTCTACCTTGTGTAAGTTGGGGTCTCTTATAGTTTGTAACTTTGTACACAGACTGACTTTTGGGCGTCTCCTGTCTGTACCACCCATCTCACCATGGGAGTTCTGGAACTGAATTACATGCATGTGCTGCCATGTCAGGCTTGTGTATGGGTTATGGGTATTTGCACGTCTGGCCTCATGCTTGCCTGACAAGGTCTTTGCCCACTGAGCCACCTCCCCATCTCCCTCTAACTGGAGTTCTGATAGCTGTCTGACTAGGGGCCAACGGTGTGCTTTTGAAACAAGGCACCACATCATTCACAAAAGTATCACTGGGGTTCCTTCCCTCTCATGTAACACAAACCCATTCCTTGCCAGGTTCTTAGAGCCAACTGAATAGGCTCTGGCCTCTGTGGTGCAACACCTCAAAAAGGATGTCAGAATACCATTAGTCCATTCATTTCAGGTACAGGAAAATGCTTTTCCAGCTTTCTTGGTTAGAGAACCGACCCATATTGAAGGATTGCGTCTTCAGAATTTTGTTGAACATTTTATTCCTATGTTTCAATGCAGCTCAGTTCTTGTTCATGGCTTAAATAAATTGGCACATTACAGTTAGTACTTCTCCTTGCCCCTCCCCTTGCGTCATGCTTTGCCCACCTCGCCTCTTGGGTTGAGCATGAAAAATGAATTTGAACATGAGTGGAATCCATTTGGTGACTGGGGATTTTATTGTAAATAAAATCACTCATTTGTTATGTCCTGTTGTTTTCAGCAGACAGTGTATTGATCTGTGGATTGCTATTCAGCATGGCACAAGAGACTCTCACATAAGAGGAACGGCAGTGTTTGTGGAGGCTTAGAATGTTCTGTGTGATGATGGAGACAAAGCTTGCTCAGTGGCCATACTGTATTATACAAATCATTTGTCAACAGTTTATTGAATCAATTGCTACAAGGAACAGATTCTCTGGGCCAGGAGCATCACACACAGAATGCTATCAGGGCCAAATAATGTTAGGATGATACATGGGGGGGCAGTCTTCCAAAGTGCATTTGTGAAGAATTAGATGAGGCAACATAAAGGTCATTTCTGCTGACGTATTACAAACAAAAAGTTTGCTGCGCTGGGAACTGTGTAGCAAGATGCAGCCCTAGCAGCTAGGAGAGAAAAACCTGACAGATGCCTTTTGAGACTAACTTTTACCATTTCCAGTGAGAAATGTTCACTGTTCTGATTTCAGACTCTTA